AGAGAAAAAAATTGGGGGGGGGGGGGGAATGGCAATTTCTAACTTTGAATTTGGAGGGAAATTAGTGCCATAGAAAGAGGCACGGATATGAATCTGGGAGACCGGTTTCAAGCTGGGCCGGTTCAGTTCAAGAAAAAATAGATACTATGAATTTTATCGAAGCAATCTCATAAAATTAACCAACAATGTAAAGAAAAGAAAAATTAAACCAAAGAATTTCAAAACAACTTACTTGAAGTTTTGGCTTGCTTTCATAAGATCAAAACGCTTTAGTATGGAACGGTATGCCAATAAGGTCCTATTTATACAATAAGCTCTGCAATTGATTCCTATACAAATTGGGTTTTCTTAAAATTTAAACCAACAAAGTTACCATAATTACTGATCCTAATTTTGGTATAATTCTTAAGTCGGCCTAATTTTTTTTTTCCCTTGCACTCTTTTCATCTTTTATTTTTGGGATTAAAATTCACAAATCTCCCTTTCCTATTATACATGTTTGGTTTCACAAGGAATACAAGTGTAATAATGATTTGCTTCAACTAATTTGTTTATAACGGTCTATTTTTTCTTTCAAACAAATTTAAAAAAGAAACTTGACTCGGATTTTATGAGAAAAACAGTTCAGTGCTCAAAGCATCTTATATTTATAAGACGTGTGATGTAGTCATGTAGACCATATACCCTAATGCAAGCATCATTAGATGCTTTCTATAGCTTGAACTCCATTATTTTAGCCAAATAAAAGTTGTCTCGTAAAAAATAATGAAGTACAAACTATGTGTTTCTTCTTTAAATACAATAATTATTTATTTTAATTGTGTATTTTCTTATCATGACAAAATAATTGGGGGGAAAACAACTTAGAGTCTCATTTTTTTCAGTCTGATAAAAAAGTTTGACAAAAATAATGGAGTTGCATGCAATTGTGTATTTTTTTAAAAATTTATTTAGATATAATGACTATTTATTTTCGAATGTCGTCTCCTTTTTTTTTTGCCCCAAGTTTGTAAAAAAAAATGCACTTGATTGGAGCTCCTTTGTTTCTAGTGAAATAAAAAAAAAAGTTTTAGCACTATAATAAGTTCTAATTGTATCCTTCTTATTATATCTTATATGCAGTGTTTAGGGGCATGAGATGAGACATTTTATGCGACATGGGGTGAGGGGGTAAGCTCCAAAATACGAGTTGTAAGTTCCATAAATCTACTGGGTGTAATATCTCATATAAGTTTAGTTTATAATTTTATTATTAAGACAATAAGCAAAAATAAAATTTTCAATAATTCTACCAATAAATTCAATAAATCACTAATAATATAGAAAAAATATTTAAATTATTCTTTGACAAAGGTAACAACATAAAAAATGATACTAACCGAGATAATTTGAATATGTGTGTGATGCACCCTCCCCCCTTCTTTAATTAATTAATTTAATTTAAATACTACATAAAAACTGGTTTAACTCAACCCAAAATGTTTCACCTATCAATATAATTGATATTTTTTTCTCTTTCTTTATATTTCCATTTCTCACTTTTTTTCTCTTCATTTTTTCCTTCTCAAACTACACAAGAAATTGAAGATTATCTGCTTAGTTTGCTTTATTTTGCATTGAAAGTAAGTCTTTATGTTTACATCGTATTTTCATACGCAACTTCGGATCATTCTAGTCGTTATAAATATGATTCAAGATTGTATTTGACATTATAAAAATAGTTTCCCTCAAAACCTAAAGATAACTTGATTTCTCAAATTTTAAAGAAATTAAACCTTGAGTAACTGGAAATTAACAAGAAGTTAGAATGTTCTTACCTTTTTGGGTAGATTTCGTTCAAGAGAGAAGATGATTTATTTTATAAAATATATAAGGGAAAAGGGTCAAAAATACCCCTCAACTTTATTTTATTGGTTGACTATGCCCTTACCGTTAAAAGTGAAGTTATTTTTACCCCTGTCATTACTAATTTCACCATATATACCCCTCATTTGACGGAAAGCCCGAAATCAACTTAAATTAACCCAATCTTAAAAAATGACCTGTTACCCATTTTTAAACCCATGCCCGACCCACTAACACTTAACCCAAGAGATGAACAAAGGAAAAATAGGGGAGGAAGAAGAAATAACTTCAGCCTTTGTTTTCCCATTTTTCCGACCAGCCTCTCCTCTCCACGCTGTTGTCCAGCCACCAAATAACCACCCCTAAACGACCTCATTTTTTTCCGCTTTCACAGCCACCATCATCCACTTTCTGGCCGGCGACCAAACCCACTTGAAACCAGCCCACTCCAGCGAAAAACAATCTGTAAACCATCTCACAACCAGACGCCAACTCCGGCGAACCAGATCACCATTTACTGCCTCTTTTCTCCTGCCAAAATGTCACCAGAAAACACCCAAATCGACCCCACTGGTCGACTTCCCTCAACCCATCTTCCTTCTCCAACCAGAAACTCTGGTGAACCACATCGGAAACACCTTCAAACAACCACCACTCACCTCCAAATCACCAGAAATCACCACCCTAAAACAACCCTTTCCGCCGCCGCCTCATCGACACGGAAAAACCACCGCGAACATCCTCAACTCCATGAGCTCGTGAAACCCAACGGCAACAAGCAACCACCATCGTTGATGATTCTCTTCCCCTTCCCTTTCATGATTTTTTTTGCATCTTCAGCAAATCAGAACTCATCAGCCCTCCAGCTTCGACAACAACAATTAACTCCGTCAAAAATTACTTCTTTAATTGTTTTGCTCTTTTTGTTGTTATATTTTACTGCGTTTCAGGTGAATTATTTGACTCTCATTTCAAACTCCGACCATCTTATTGTTTTTAATGATTTTTAGTTATTAATAATTTTTGGGTGAACATTGTTCTTTCTTTCAATTTGTGTTATTCCAAATGTGACAGTATTAAGCACTTTATAGATTTTGGTGATACTTTGTTTTATTAATTCCCATGTTAAAAATGAAATGATGAAATTGTTCCCAAAAAAAAATTGAGCAAAGTACCTCCGACGATTTCAGCAGTAAGGGGTCGTTTGTTACAAAGATTAATAATGCAGAGATTAGTAATGTTGAGATTAGTAATGCAGGGATTAATAGTGCAAGGATTAATTAGTAATACATGGATTATTTTTACCAAGTGTTTGGTTCATTGTTTCCCACCTCATCTTGTGCTTGGATTAAAACTTTATAAAAAACTTTTTTCCAATTATACCCTTGAATTATTTTGCAATTGGGTTAAGGTAAATAATTGCCGGACAATATTATTTTGTATGGCCTTCTAACTAACTATGAGAAGAACAATTTTGTTGTCATGTTTACCTTTTTTTTCACTTAAATTATTTGAGGATAAATAATTGTCATCTTAGTAAATTGATCACTTACAAAATGTAAATTTTCAATTTATAAAAAGATAAACTATGAACTTTTAAAATTGAAAAGAAGGTAAACAATAGTAAAATTGATTAAATCATCTACATTTACACATAAAAATTGCAAGTTGTAATTTTAAAATGTATTCAATTTTATAAATTGTTCAAAATACAAAAAATTAGAAAACCGCACAAACATATATATATATATATATATATATATAGATATATCAATAAATTATACCTTCAATTAAGATCACAAACACTCCCTATGTTTGTTTGCAGATGACGAGCGTGAATGAGAAACTTTTCTTTCAAAACGAATTTAAAAGCGTTACATGTCAATTTTTTCTCTATTATTTAATTACTTACTCTTTAAATACACCATCTTTCCCAATTCTTACTAAGAAACCACTAAAGATTGGGAAAAGGGTAAAAAATACCCTCAACTTTATTTTATTAGGTGACTATGCCCTTACCGTTAAAATGAAGTTATTTTTAGCCTTGTTGTTATTAATTTCACCATAAATACCCCTCATTTGACGGAAAGCCCCAAATCAATCAAAATTACCCAATTTCAATTAAAATGACCCGTTTCTCTTTTAATCCAAACCCGACCCACTAAACCAAATTAATTCATACTCAATTAAAACCCCAAACCCATTTGTTTAATCTTCTTCATCTCCTTCCACCATTAAAACACTTAGGGGTCGTTTCGTAGACCACATTAAAACAAATAGTCCATGTATTATGTATGGTATTATTTAGTTCTATATTTGGTAGGAAATTGAGTCTATGTATAACTAATCCATGGATTAGTTATACATAGACTCAATTTCCTACCAAATATAGAACTAAATAATACCATACATAATACATGGACTATTTGTTTTAATGTGGTCTACGAAACGACCCCTAAGTGTTTTAATGGTGGAAGGAGATGAAGAAGATTAAACAAATGGGTTTGGGGTTTTAATTGAGTATGAATTAATTTGGTTTAGTGGGTCGGGTTTGGATTAAAAGAGAAACGGGTCATTTTAATTGAAATTGGGTAATTTTGATTGATTTGGGGCTTTCCGTCAAATGAGGGGTATTTATGGTGAAATTAATAACAACAAGGCTAAAAATAACTTCATTTTAACGGTAAGGGCATAGTCACCTAATAAAATAAAGTTGAGGGTATTTTTTACCCTTTTCCCAATCTTTAGTGGTTTCTTAGTAAGAATTGGGAAAGATGGTGTATTTAAAGAGTAAGTAATTAAATAATAGAGAAAAAATTGACATGTAACGCTTTTAAATTCGTTTTGAAAGAAAAGTTTCTCATTCACGCTCGTCATCTGCAAACAAACATAGGGAGAAAATGGGTCAAAATGATATATTTACAAAGGTATTTAATACTTTTGTGGAGTGATAGGACGACCACAAAGTTAAAGTGTCTTTTCATAAATTCAGGACAACTTTTGGTGTCACTTTATGTCTTTTCTCATCTTAATATTCATATGTGTATTCAAATTCATATATCTAAATAAAATACTCAGATATGCATTCAGTTTCAAACTTCTTAATTTTATCAAAAAACAAATGAGGCCTTAATGGGTCTAAATATATTTGGATGATTAAGATTTATAACAAAATTGGATGTCTAGTCAAAGATTTCAATAAAGATAACAGTTCATTGATTCCACCCATTTACCGCTACCATTATCGCCCACTATTCGCAACTACCGTCGTAGTCCCCCAGCATTATCAACTACCACTATCAGAAGCCACCATCATTTGCCACGACACTACAATAAGTTGCCACTACCACAAGGCACTATTACAATCAATCATCATTACTACAACAACCACCAATCATTACCATCAATTGTCATTATATATCGTCAATCATTGTCATTAGTCACCACCATTATTTGCTATCACTCTCATCTATCACAACTATTTGATGTCACTACCAACTACCACCATCAACCATAACTATTAATCATCCTCACAACTAATTACTACTCATACCACCACCATTAGCCAATATCATTCCCAATTGGCACCCACAACCGTCATCATTAGCCATCTCCTCCACCAACAACCATATAAATGATGTTAATTATTTTTATTCAAAAAATTTACAACATTTTAATATTTCGATGAGTATTCAAATTCAGGTATCTAAATCTTAATACACATCTCAATATTTGAATTCTGACGTTCTAATCTTAATAAAAATAAATGAGACCTAGTTAATCCTTGATAAGCCAAAACCAAGAGGACGAATAAATTTTAACTCCCATATGTGGTTAATTATACAATCATCTAAGTCATTCTACTATTGCACTCAAGACAAAAAAAAAACCATAAAAGGTAGGACATTAATCGCAATACAAGTTACGCGAGATCAAAGTTTGCATAACTAAACTAAATGGAGTAACAATGGATCAAAAGGTTGACCATGAAAAGTGCACATAGATTATAAAATCATACTTCAAATATCAAGTGCAGATGAATAGTTTTACATGAGTAGTGATACGTCCAAATTACACCTCCCGAAAGATGTATAAGCGGTCGTTGTCAAATAAAGAACCTAACTTTTAGATTAGGATCAATCCTACGAGGAATATGATTTAGACTTAGGCTAACTTACGATTATCTACATTCAGTCAAACTTTTTCCGGTAAAAGGGAAAAAGGGGGATTTGTAAACAAAATAACAGTTTGTTGATTTGTATCAATAAGTAACAAGTAAACAGGATTCACAGTTTGAGATATCAATATGAGATGAAAACTAGGGCATATGTGTTCCACACTAGCTCTTAACGCAGTATTCCTAATAATAGTAACTTTATCCTAGTGTTAACATGCAAAGTTGATAAGTTAGGTATTCCTAAGTGATTAGTCCTCCAAGTAGGGAATTTCACCACGCAACTTGGTCTGTCTACGGGTGTATGCTTTACTAACCCTTACCCTTAACACCAGATTAGCCTTCGCACTATTAGGGTCAGGCTATTAGATAGCGGCTAAACACGTCTAAATCTCAGTTGTTTATCTCCGTTGTTTAATCCCTTTCTTATTCGTTACCTCGTTGGTCCGGCAAGTAGGAATGAAGCTAGTTCTAACGTTGCGCACCGCTAGAAAGCATTCTAAACAAAAGGATTAACAATACATGCATCAACACTATTTTAGAATTACTTAATTGATAGTCATACATTGTTGATTACTCATGGTTTCCACAACCCTAGTTGTGGATCTAGCTACTCATGCTTGAAAATTCACAATTCATGTTAGGGTTAATAAGATAAATCATGAACTTACAATTAGAAGATGGATATCGTAATCTTGAATTGAAAATCAAACACAAATATCATAAACAAAGCTTTGAGAATCAATTGTCGAAAATGTTTGCAAAATAATCCTCAAAATAGAAACAAAATATCCCAAATATTCTAACAACCCAAAAACGAAAAATACAACTTATATTTATTGAAACTAAATCCTAAACCAAATAGGAAAAGAAAATATAGGAAATTCGGTTTGAGTAGTTTCAATCGACGATAACAAACGACAGACCATGGATCAGCCAACAGTCCGTGAGTCTCCTCTGTGGTTCAGCAGTTGGCCAAAATTCTTAGTCTTCAATTGACGGTCATCACCTACGGTCTGTAGGTCTATGCACGATATGTCTCGTCTCTCCGTTGTTCAAGTACTGAAACTCCTCTTCTCTGATTCAATCAACGATTAACATCCATGATCCATCAGTAAGACTACGATCCGTCATTTGCATCCGTGGTTCGACACTTTTGGTCAGACTTCCTTGAACAATCGACCCCCGACTCCCACCTACGGCTCATCAAGTGAATGACGGCTCATGAGTGAACTCGCAGGTTGCCAAATTCCTGCTGATTCAGCTACATTCAACTTCAACTGCTTCAAATCGATTTCTTGCAAAATTAGGCCAAACATCATCATATCTAATAACAAAAATGCCTAAGACGCACACAAACTTCACGTATAATGCATCAAAAATATCGTAAACTCACGCTACTTCAAGTAGTAATTTACTACATTCTCCCGTTGCACTTATGAGAGCCACATCTACCCTTCTCTCTCTTCAAATTTCCATTTATATCATGAACATGGACAATCCGGTGGTTGTAGTGATAAGTAAGCTCCTCTAATGGAGAAATACTTTTGGAAGCGAAAAACATTATGTGAGGTACTCTTTTATCACCATAGTCATACATGACATTTTGAGCACAAAGGTTTGGTGAGCAACTATGATTGATAAATCTACCAACATTCCCATATATTGCTGCATCAATAGTAAATCCATCTTCATCCTTCCTTTTAAAAGAACTTGACTCGACTTTACTACTTACAACCTTCCTTTTGGGGATATATTCATTATAGTTGCCAACATCAAAGAAGTACTCGTCATAATCCATTCTAATTTTGGCTTCTTTATGATCAAGCAATTATCTGATATATTCACAAATAAAAATTCCGGGTGCAATATAATTTGATGACCTCAAACCCCATCCTTTCGATTTAGTTTTGAAAACCTCGAAATAGTACCGAAGACCATGTTGGCTAACCTTACTTTTGCAAGATGGAGGACATTTGCAGTATGGACCACACTCATGAACAAGAGGCTTTTCTTTAAGAATAGAGCTTCTTGGGTTGAATGGAAACTCGCCTCCGTTCTTAGAAGCACAAGAGCACTGCTCAAAAGTCGAGCATCTACTTGTGCAACTGCAACCTTGAGGCCTAATGATATAATACCAATCAGGATATTGCATGCTCGTAATATATGTGAAAGGTGGGGGTCTCTCATCATCTATTTCATTGATAACGGGGATTGGTATATTCTCCTTCCCTTGCGAGACATCATACTCCATAACAAACTTTGTCTGCATAGTAGATTTTGTTGCCTTGTTAACATTTTCATAGATATGATTGACATTGACTAACTGAGTAAGTTCTGGTTGGCCAAGATTTCTCTGCAGTTCAAACTTGAAAACATATTTTCCAGTTGGACCTCTTTCTTGCCAACACCTAGTTACAGTGTACAACCCATAGTAAATGTATTTTCCCTCGGTATTTTCACCATTAACTCTTGGACGACCATAAATAACCCTTACTGAATATCCTAAATCCATTGAGTTCTTCAAGGCAAGATTCTCCCTTTGAAGCTTTTGATCTTCCACTTTCGCATTAACAGATACTGTAGGATTCCCTCCTTGACCTACATAAATGAACTTTTGAGAAGATATGGTCTCATTCTCATATAGACCAGAATCTACAATGCTAGTTGCAACATTTTTTCTATTAATATTCACATAATCGATACCCTTTAAATTTTTGTGATGTAGTCCGACCATAGCAAGTTGTACCTTGAACCGGAATTGATCACCAATTTCAACTCCAGGAGCATGGCCAAATGCCCAGTCAAAATTTACCCACTTTCCTTGTTTTCTCAAAATCATTGCAGCCTTTATATTGATTGTTCTTTTAGAGCGTCTTCCTTGTTTTTCTGCTTTGTTTTCTCGCAAAAGCTTAGTGTATTCATAAGCAAAATGTTTGAGAGTCTCTCTAACTTGTTTTCGTTTCTGAATATGCTCTCCATCTATAATACGCCCACCATTTGAAAACCATTCACATCTTGAATAAATTGATGAAATTTTGGGAACATTCAACTTATGATTAATCGATAAATCATGTTGTTGAACAGTGTTTCCATTGTTTTGACGAACAGATGGACGAAAATTGTTGATGCTATCAACTCTTAGGCACTTAAACACTGATAGAGATCTAATATCAATCATCTGATGAAGTTTCTTCTTCTGAAACTTCTTTGAGGTACTTGTTTCTACCGGCACAAATGACATCTACAAGTAGACACAACATAAAATTCATCCTATAAATCCAGTAGAATAGCAGACAATTTTACAAAAACACAAACATATTACATGATTATTAACACCAACACGACAAGGCGTTATGAATGTTTGAATCAAACTGGAAAAAAAAGTTATATCAAAGCAAAAAAAACCATCATGAAACAAAAAGAATACGACCTAACAAGCAAAGAAGAAGAGTAGTGAAACTCATATTAGGGCTAAAGGAGAGCAAAATTCTGAAATCGTTTGAATTGGGGGGAGGGGGGGAATTAGTGTCATAGAAAGAGTCGAACTAGAAAAAGTTAACACTCTGCATTAAACTTATGGTCCTTATAATTAAACTTTTGCTGCAAAAATAGTCCTTCAACAAAGGAACACTTTTCTCTAATGGAAGAAGAAAGGGGTTGATGTGGTTTGACGAATTTAAAACAAGTCTTCGAAATGTCATTATTTCTCAGCATGTCTTAAAAGTGTTTCTCAAAGGTCTCACTCAGGGAATATCCACTATAGTTACAGATTGGGGAAAAGCTCAAGGGGTTATTTTTATTTTTTTTAAAAGTATGTATTTAAAAATAATTTATTTAGAATGCACAAAAAAAAAAGAATTGTTAATTAAATTTTATTAACTAAAAATTCTTGATTTTGTTTTTTACCTTAACCTGAGACGGGTCCAAACAAAGTCATTTAAGCATATGAAACAATTGTAGGAAAATAGAAGGATTAACGTTAAGCGACAGGAGAGAAATAAAACTAAATAACTTCAAATCACCAAGAAAAGAAATAACTTACTTTTTAGTATGAATCCAAGTGTTGACTTCTTAAGATCCAATTTTTTTCTCAAACCAAAAGATCCCAAAAATATTAGAGGAAGATGGAATAAGGGTGTACCAATAGCACAATACCAAACTCCCATTTATACTAAAAAAAATAGTGAAAGGGAAATTAGGTATGCAATTGATTTTTGTTCAGATTGTGTTTCCTTACATTAATAAGTTTCCAAGTAAGTCAAGTATAAAATTAGACATAATAAAAGTGAAGGATAAATTAGGTGTGCAATTGATTTTTATTCAAATTAGATTTTTTTTACATTAATAAGTTTCCATATCAAACAAGATAAGTCAAATACAAAATTAGAAAAATAGTAAAAGTGAAGGTTAAATTAGGTATGCAATTGATTTTTATTCAAATTAAATTTCCTTAAATTAATAAATTTCCATATCAAACAAGATAAGTCAAATATAAAATTAGACATAATGAAAGTGAAGGCTAAATTAGATATGCAATTGATTTTTTATTCAAATTAAGCTTCTTTAAATAAATAATTTTCCATATCTAACTAGGTAAGTTAATTACAAAAAAGTGAAGATAAAATCAGATTTGCAATTATATTGACTATTATTCAAATTGTATTCTTTGCATCAACAAGTTTTCATATCAAACAAGGTAATTCATATACAAATGTACCTTTTCCTACTTGATATATCTTTTAAAATACATTAATTTTAATAAAATATTGTTTTTAAAGATTTTTATGTAATTGTTTTCTTTTAAAACCCTTAAACTAATAGAAAAGTGAAAAAAAAAACAATTTTTTTCTTTTTAATTTCCTTTTATCAATTAAAATAGAGTTACATTTTATATTTTCTTAACTAATATATGTCTTATATATAATATCATATTAATTGCATCATTATTTCTCATTTATATAATTATTAAAATATATTACTAAAATAGAAAATATATTTATTTCTTAATCATTATTGCAATTTGCCAATATATTCCTTAATTTTGAAGTTAATATGAAAAAATGGTCAGCAATAACTTCATTGATGATATTTTAAAGATATTTGGTAACGTGGACCATTTTAATAAACTATATCTTTTTATGCATTAATCATTATAATTATTTTATCTTAACTTTAAAATCAATAATTAATAAGTGTTTATCATCCGTTTGTGACACCCCGACTTTTCAAAACGTCTAAATTAACTCGTATCTTTGTGGAAAGACAAGGAGGGTGGGTAATAAATTAAGAATGATGTGGTATGTCATATTTTATGTGTTCAATGGTTGTTTCTCAAGTTTTGAAGTTAGTTAAGTGGCAAAATAAAAGTTGGCGAAAGTTATCGTAAGTTCCTTTTTAAACATTTCTCTAAAATTTGAGTGAAATGTCTTGGATGTTTTCTCCCAATATATAAAGAGTTAGAAGGCCTATAACCCATTAAATTGAAGGCCTACGAGTCTAGTTTGCAACGCATAAAACCCTGTATCCAACCGACATCGGAATAAAAAGTTATGAGGGTTTTACTACGGACTGCCGGGGAAGAATCCGGGTCGGGTAAAAAATATAGTATGTCGGCTTATTCAACGTTTTAAGCCATGAAAACATTTCTTTTCACTTCCAAACCAGAGATAAAGCTTAAGAGAGGGTTCCTATGGAGTTCTTGCATGATGAAGATTAGTTTTTGACGATTTCTACCATTAAACGTTGCCCCCGTGCCTAGAAATGTGATCTCTACACGTGGCAATCGTTTTTCCCTTCTATTAGCTGCGTTTGGAGCTAGTTTTTGAAGATATAAATTTGTAGTTATTGGTGTTTCTTCAAGGTTTAAACTTGGTTAACTAAGATAATTATCTCGGGACTCTTTTATGATTGTTTTATGAATTTCTACGAACATTTCGACAAGTTGGGGCAATATGGCAAATCTACCGATTTAAGATTAATTATGAATTATTTATAGGCGCGTACCAGCTGTGTATATATAGTGTTTGTGAAGCTTAGGACATAAGGAACAACTTTCGTAAAGGAACTACGGTCTTTCGAGCGTTCATTGGAAAGGTATGTTAAGGTTATCCCCTTCGTTCGACATGTTTCCTTAGAGGTAGTTAATGTTAGTGATCTTGTAGATGTAATTGTGAGTGGTTGGCTGATTGAGCGGTTATAAACCCTCATTTTAGGGACTCATAATCTATTAAGAACAACCCTAAGTTAGGAACGACTCGGAGATTATTATATATATTGTTTATAGCTAAATTGCTCGCCTTTAGCCTATTCAATTGTTTGTTGTCGCCCTTGAGGCTATTGTGGTTAGTTGTTGAGCTATGAACTGCCTATAGGGGCTATGATGTTGTCTAATAGGACTATGTTATTTCCAAAGAGGGTTATGTGTTGCCCACGGGGCTATATTGATGCCAAAGAGTGTTATGTGTTGCCTACGGGGCTATTTTGACACCAAAGAGGGATATGTGTTACCTACAGGGCTATGTGCAACCCACAGAGCTATAATGTTGCCTAAGAGGGCTATGTGCTACCTACGGGACTATATTGTTACCAAAAAGGGCTATGTGACTTCTTACAAAGACAAGGGGCTACCGAATAGATTGTTTGGTACCTTCTGGGCTTATGGGGCCCTAGGTAGGTGGTATGTTGGTTGTACCTGCCGAGCTTATAGGGGCTTAGTTAGGTTGATGTTTGATCATTTTGTGTATTTTTTCAGATTCAGTAGCGGGTTAGCATGCTTATCAAAAATTTTGATTTCCTTACGTGATTGCTTTTGGTATATTATGATACTTGCTCACTTAGTCTATAGCCTTTCATACTCTGTACATTATTTTGTACTGACGCCCCATTTCCTTGGGGGCGCTGCATTCATGCATGCAGGTCCCGACAAACGACCCAGTAGACCTCCTCAGCAGCAGGATTGACTTCTATCTGATTGGCTAGCCCCTTTCCTCCGGAGCTGCCAGAGTTGGGAGGTTTGTTACCTTTTGTTGTATATATCTTTATGGGTAGGCTGGGGCCCTGTTCCGCCAATCTTTACTACTCTTAAAGGCTTGTAGACTAGTGTGTAGGGTGTATAGTTACGTTATGGCCATACTGGCCTAGTTTGTTGGTTTGCTGAAGCTTGTGAGCTGTTTGATGTATTGTCTTGATATATACCTGCTTTCAGTTTTGGTATAGATATCATGGTGGCCTCGACGGCCCAATCAGGATTTCTGTGCTAGTTGGCTATTTATTTATATGATCTTCTGGGAGTAGCTGTTTCTTTTGTAGATCAGTTGACAGGGGTCTTGCCGGTCGAGGGCTTAGTTGTAAGCCGAGATATACTTGTTTCTTTTCTTGATTGCGTGTGACTGTCATGCGCTAATAGCAAATGGTTCAACAGGGTCAGCTCGGGCCTGAGTTTTGGCATTAGGAGCCAGTTGCGCCCCTCGAGTTTGGGGCGTGACACCTTCAATTTCAAATATATTGAGAAATATTTATTTTCTTTTTTATTAGGAATTTTTTACCGTTATCTAAATAAAAATAAATGATGGATTACATACATAAAAATTAACAATGGTTACAATAATTTTATTAGGAAAAAGAATGTATTAGAAAAAGGACATTTCTTTACCAAAAATAATAATAGGACATTTTTGGAACAAGCATTTTGACAATTTTCCGTATAATTTATCATAGTTAAGTAATTTAATGAAGATACATCTACTCCTCTGTTCACTTTTAGTTATCCATTATTTCAAAAATAAACTTTTCACTTTTACATGTTATTTTTAACATATGAAGAATACCAATTATTTCTGGAAATGCATAAGAACGATTGAATGGAAAAGAGATGTAACTTCAGTTCCTTCAGAATTGGTAGTCTACCAATTCTATTTCTGAGAAGATTCAATATGTAGTTCTGACCAATCTCAAAATACAAAAGTAATACAGGAGAAGGAGAAGAATTTTCGACCTTGTTCATGACCTGTTCAAGCTACAACGAAGTAAGAGTACATTCGATGAACATTGAGAGCCGGGAAAAGCCATTCTTCACTGTTCTGATTCAAGCAGTCGGCAGTGAGCAACTTTCACTTCCTGAAATCTCAATAATACACAACAGTTAATAAAGAACCTCACATTGATATATCACACGACATAATTAAAACAGAGTATAGGTAGAAAGCAAGGCATGCAGTGCCATTCCTATGCACAGTCTACATTTAGAACGCAGCAAAAATCGTTTTCATCAGAAATTTTCTGCCTTTTTAAGTACAAAAGACGAGTTTCATACCGATCCCCTTACCAACTATACTTGAGGCATGCATGTCTAAGGCAGGGGCGGAGGCAGCATATAATGAGGGGGGTTCATCCAAACCCCCTCAGCGAAAAATATTACCATTTATACATGGTTAAAATTATTTTTTAGGTATGTATAATAGATGCCAAACCTCCTTCTACTAGTTCGGGGGTTTACTTCTCAGATTTTGAACCCCCTTATTAAAAAAATTGGCTCCGCCACTGGTCGAAGGTGCTACCATTCAACTTCGATGCAGTGAACAATAGTAATAAATATAAAAGGATAGTTAACTTCAAGCTATATATGTAGTCTATCATTAATACAAAAGGAAATTAAGATTGAGAGTAAAGTCACAGGTAGTACACATCGACCCGCGTCAAACATATTATGCTGTTCAAAATGGGTAGTAAGTTGATTTAAAATTTAAAGTTTGTGCTTTTTATAGAAGGCATAATATATAAATATGCCCTTTAACTTGACCTTACGTCATATCCATACCCTCTAACTTTGAGTGTGCACAAGTAGATACTTAAACTTGTAATAAAATTGAACAAATAGACAACACGTCCTACATGACATCCTTCATGGCAATTTGTGTCATACATGATGTCCTACGTGTATTATGACACATAGGACTCAAGTGTCAACTTGTTTAAGTTAAAGTGTTAATTTGTGCACACCCAAAATTGAAGAACATAAATACGAAATGCGACCAAGTTAAAGAACATATTTATGTATTATGCCTTTATAGAAGATAAGTGCCCCTTCAGCAGACTAGCTACATGAAGCTCCTCTTTTCGTATTTTAGCGAATGATAACTTTCCATTCAAAGATACAGTCGTCTTTCAAATTACTGTGCAGTAACTTGTAGGAAAAGTAGCATGGCCAATGCAGCTATCATTCACCATATCCAAAATAGCAATTCCTATACCCGGAATTTATTGTAAATTGCAAAGAGAACTTTTATTTGCTTGCTCTGTTTATTGCACATTCTGGTTTTTCCTTGGCTTTGCCGAGGCAAGTTAATTAGGGGTCACCAAAAATAGCTACTTTCTTCATTCCGAAGATCTAGAACCTCATGACCGATTGACTTCACAGAAAAAATCATAAACCATAAAAGCAAGTAACTTCAAAGCATGGAAATGTGGATCAAACACGACGCACATGCTCAAGATATGGCTTTGTGAATCCATAATTTCACAAATGTGATGTGCATTACGGGATTTCTTATGCGGTATCTCATATTACAAGAAAAAGGGAAATGACTTGGCCTATTAGCATATTCCAGTAGCAAATAGACAAGCTCTGTTTCCCAATAGCAAATAGACAAGCTCTGTTTCCCTACCAACTGCATTTGGGGCATGATAACAATAAGCCACAAGCTCAACTTATGACAATCCACATTTCCAGAAAATGTTCTCCGAAAATGACTTCTCTAGTGGAAGCAGAGAATACAAGTTCTAAGTGTCATTCCACATTGATTGTGTCCTCACAGTCCTCCTCCAACACATCTCATCTTCATCCCCACGCCCATCACCCCACTAGCCTTTACATTTTAAATACATACTACACCCTCAGTTTGAAGTAGAAGACAAAATTATTGCTTCATAAAAGTAGAGCATGAAGGGAAAATGACTAACGATATCCTCGAGCAATATGGTTTAAAGACGCCATTTACATATGCATTGTTTATATTTGAGATAACAAACAGAATTCAATAGAATGTGACAAAAATGCACAAAGTGCAACTCTTACAAGTCATTTATTGATTAATTGTTGTTCACCTGAGTTTTTCTAGCCTTCCTTTTTGTTGCATTCTTTCTCCTTCCACAGATAAAGGACAAACTAGGCTTTCAACGTAGATTTCTGCCAGACGCCAACCGTCAAAGTTAAAGTTAATAACCTTTGAATATCTGAAAGAGTCATCCTTTGGATTGTATGTCATGGTATTACTTTTTTGATCAACTGAAGTACATTATGTCATGACTTTACTAGATCCAAAACAAACCAAAATTTCACCTTTATTTGATATGAAAAAAGTGGAAAATGCATACAATCATAATCCACAAAAGGATCATCAGGATACTCGATACTCAACATCTTTGTCCAAGATTCTTTAATCCCATACACCTTCATAACCCAAACATCTACATGACTAACCATATTATCACAAAAGATAGAAAAATCACTTCCAAACACTCCAAGACTCAAAGAAAAATGTCCTATTCCATAGTTGGGCTGCTCCACCTTTCCCCATTTCTCATCAGCCAAATCAATAGAAATGATGTTCCCGTCTTTATACCTATTAAACAAATCAGGGCCATGAGTAATCCAATAAAGTTTCCCATTCACAAACTTTCCCGATATGTTTAATAGCTTCTTAATCGGACATTCATCCACACATTCCCAAGAATCACTGTGTAAACTATATATTTTGACCTCAACTTGATCCCGACTGCTATATTTCACAATAATAGCCACTACCTTATAATCATCGTGGAATTCATCGTATCCAAAACCATATAAAGGTCAGCAATCTTTCTTCATTAATGTAGGTTTAGAATCAGGCAATTTTTGTACTTCCTAATTGATGGATTCCATAGAACCAATTCATATTCATCAATGACAAGACAAATCAATCCATTAACAGAACCTACAATCGAAAAATGATTGTGCAATTTCTTGTATGGGTAATCCAAGTCAAATGCCTCAGTTACAGAATCATTAAGTAAGGAACTAAGAGTAAAATCTTTAAGAGCATACTCATAAAGACCATACATAGCTGCACGAAAATTCATCGTAAGCAAATGGTGAGTGTAATCCTTGTTGTTATTAGTGTTAGGACCGAAATAAGCAGGTGTAATGCAGAAGCTAGCAAAGCAAACCTCGAAGACCACGAGTAAGAAGATAAACGAGAAACACACCAAAAGAGACAGATTTAACGTGGTTCGGTCAATCGACCTACGTCCACAAAGGAGATGAGCAAATCCCACTAATAAAATATGAGAGTACAAAATATAGATAGAAACAACCTCAACCAATTCACTCGGAATACAAGGAGGTACACAAAATTCTCCTCCATAACCGCAACTCTCAAAACCCTAGGACTCCATTGTGAATGTTAATTAAGTTAGAAGGAACAAGCCTATATTTATAGGGTTCTAAAACCTTTCCTACAAGAAAAGGACTAGTCAAAATATTAAAATCTTTTCCTAAAAGGAAAACCTATTTATGGTAAGAAATTAAGGCAAATAACCCCAACAAATCTCCCCCTTGGCCTGGATTTCTGACAAAATAAATTTGTCCACCTTCTTTACATAATCTTTAGGATCTTGCATCTCTTCTCCATAATCTCCTCCATCAAATCTATGTCTCGACACAGAGAACCTCTCTGAAACAATTTCTCCAACAAAATCTTTATTACTGTCAAAAAGGTTGCGACTAGAACTATACCCGGCAAGATGAACACCCATCTCTAACATGGTTCCATCAATGAACCATGACTCTGATACCACTTGTTAGGATCGAAATAAGCAGGTGTAATGCATTGATTGTTGTTCATTATTGATTTGAATGATGGAGGTAAATATGAGCAAGATGGTTTGTTTGAATAGTAGTAATTATCATATTTGGAGAGGCAAGATGAAAGATCTTCTATTTGTCAAAAAAATGCATTTACCTGTGTTTACCTCTAATAAACCCCAATCCATGACGGATGAGAAATGAGAATTTGAGCACTTGCAGGTTTGTGGCTATATTAGACAATGGATTGAAGATAATGTTCGAAATCACATTGTGAATGTTAATTAAGTTAGAAGGAACAAGCCTATATTTATAGGGTTCTAAAACCTTTCCTACAAGAAAAGGACTAGTCAAAATATTAAAATCTTTTCCTAAAAGGAAAACCTATTTATGGTAAGAAATTAAAGCAAATAACCCCAACAATTAGTGGATAAGCTGAGATGGGTGTTGATAAATTCAGGGCTAGAGATCAAAGCAAGCCAAGATTTCGAAACAGACCTGAATTTCAAAAGCGATTTCACTGGTACCCTTGAGAGGATTTCAGTGATGAGTTCTGCTGGCAACACAGGGATTGTCATCAAGACTGAATTTTTCATTGAAGTTGAAGGTAGTTGAGAATGGTTTGTGGGTTTTTCCAGATCTGGGTGTATATGGAAGCCTCCATCTTCCTTGGATTCCATTTGAGTAGCACAAATTTGAGCTCTCAATTTTTGCTATGAACGAGTAAAGAACCTTGTGTTTGTGCTTTGAGAATTTTCCCCAAATTATTCGAAAGTACTTTAGGTACTTCTCCGTTTCAATTTACCTAGTATTATGTGAGCAAGATTAATTTTAAGGGCTCGTTTGGTAGGATGGACAAGTAATAATTAATCTCGAGATTAGTTTTAACTTGAGCTTATTTTCATGTTTAATTAAAAAAATGTTTGATTGGAATAAAATTATGGATATTTTATTATGGATTAGTTATTTCAGAATCGTAATGCTATTTTTATACGGGTGGATTAAATACAACAATAACACATTTCTGAAAGATGAGGAAGGATTAACAATCTCAACATAACTGATCCCGAAATAATTAATCTCAGAATAACATGTTCCCCAATCAAACAAGCCCAAGAGAAATTATATCTCACTACGTAATACCAACAAGGCCAAAATTTTGCTATTTATTCTGTCTTACTTTGTATTACACATCTTTTTTTAATTGATTCGGAAAAAATAATAAATCTCCAAATTTAGTAGTCATTTAATTTTAAAATTCATTTTGTCAAAATAACTAGTACAGTTTTTTGGACTAGAGTTTAGTAATATTCAAATTACATTGATCTGTATTCAGTCAATAATTTGGATACAAATTAAGAAGAAAAAAACACTCAATGTTGTTCTAAAAATAGCAAATTAAAACAGATAACGTAAAATAATTAAATCCCTAATTTTAGATATTGACTACACAATATACCAATGAATTCCTTAAGCATGCAAAACGGCGTCGTTCATCAGAAAACGAGGGAAAATAAAGGAATCTTCCCGCCTAACCAAAAAACCTCCTAAACATCAAAACGTAGTAGTTCTTCTCCAAGAGCTCAAATTACTTTAACTCTAATGGCGGAATCTGAGGGAGATGAAGCTTCCAATCTACACCCAAAGCGAAGAAAACGCACTAACTCTGCTCAATTGCCTTCCACTTCAATTAAAGATTCAGTCTTGATGACAATTCCTATTCTGCCAGCAGAGCTCTTCACTGAAATCCTCTTGAGCCTTCCCGTAAAACCCCTCTTGAAATTCAGGTCTGTATCAAAATCCTGGCTTGATTTAATGTCTACACCTGAATTTATCAACACCCATCTCAGTAAATCTGCTAATAACGAGGATTTAACTCACCATAGGCTTATGCTGAGTTTTAATCAACCTAAGTACAATCTTAAGGATTGTTCTGTTAGTTCTTTAATTAATGGCTCAGTTACTGAGGCATTGAACTTGGAGTATCCTAGGATAAAATCCCGTAGATCTGTTGAGATTGTGGGTTCTGTGAATGGATTGATTTGTCTTGTTATTGCAAAAAAGATATTTGTTTATATGGAATCCATCAATTAGGAAGTTCAAGAAATTGCCTGATTGTAGAGATAAATGGTGTTCTGGTTGCCATTCCATGTATGGTTTTGGATTTGATGAGGTTCATCGTGATTATAAGGTAGTGGTTGGGTTCCATAACGAGGGTTATGCCTATTCATTTCTTGTTAAGGTTAAAATGTATAGTCTAAATAGTAACTCGTGCACAAGTATAGATGATTTTGAGACTGGGAAGATATGTACTAAGTCGGGTATGTTTGTGAATGGGAATCTTCTTTGGGCTAATGATATTTATCATACTTCTGGTTCGGACATCATTTCTTTTGATTTGGCTGAGAGGACATGGGGAAAAGTGCAACAACCCTACCATGGAGAGAGATTTTTGTTGGACCCTGGGAGTTTTGGAAAGTGATCTTTCTGTGTTTTGTAATTATCAAAGAATTCACGTTGACGTGTGGGTTTTGAAGGAGTATGGGGTTAAAAAATCTTGGATAAAGATGTTTAACATCAATATTCCTTGTGATCCTATGATCGGTTATCGTTGTCTATTCTTGTGCATGTCAAATAAAGGTGAAATTTTGTTTCAGTTTGGCTCAACTTTCATAATTTACAATCCAAGGGATCACTCAATCGTACAACGAAGCCCACGTCTAGAGGTTACCCACTATGATTACAAGGCAAGCATCTACATAGAAAGTCTAGTTTGGCCCCTTTTTCAACGGAAGAAATCAAGGATGCAACAACGGAGGAGGTTGAAATAGCTCTGATGAAGACAATTGTGTAATTAATAGTAAGACTTCTCTGTACATCTCTCAAGTGTTGTTATACTCTGTTTCTTTTCAAGTATAGAACAAGATATTATATATTACGTCCGTCTTAACCATATCCTCTTGGAGGTCTTGTTAGTGTTATTTTCTTTTTTTGCTTCACGGAGATAGCAATTTTCTTGGAAGAATAGTTATTTGGTTGAAGTGCTTGGCGTCTTCATCCTCAACCTAAATGACACTCAACATTTTTGTTACTTTGAATAACAATTATTTTATCATGTTCAGAGTATCTACATTTGACTTTAAAGAAAGAACTTTTGTATGTTCTGTTGTAAATTTTACAGCAGTAAAGTTAAAATATGTGCGATGTTATGTATCACCGAGTGAGAGATAAAAGCCCCGGCTTAAAGAATTTCCAAGTGCAACATCCACTTGTTATACTATAACCAACCTATAATGAGGAAAAATAACTAGTCCTTGTAAGTAAACAATGCCAAGAATTTGATTGACTTGCATATCAGTGTAATTGTGGTTCAATTTGTTGGTTTGCATATTTTGTGATCAATTAAATTTAGATAACTTATTGTTGTGCATTAGTGAAATGATATAGAGGAGAAAAAGGAAAGAAGCCAAAATGTGTAATATGAAATTTCTTTGCGAGTTGGATTTACTGGAACTAGAGAGGAGGGGATGGTTTCTACATTAAACTCCAGCTCTAAATCAACTAATTTACCCATTTTTGGTAGCATAAAATGTTGGATAAGAATAAGTGATGCTTGTAATTCATTCTTAACGTTTTTATCCTTTTTGGTATTAATCGTAGATCATGTATACCGCTTAAGGTTGCACCATGTTCCATCTTAGACATCAGATAAGTTAACAACGGTACATTTGTTTGTGTTATAATGGACGTTAAGGGAGATGTTATGCCCCTAAATCGAGTGAGAATAAAGAGCATTCAGAGACATGGAAATCTTGCATCGCGTTATATTGTGGTTTAATTTGTTGACTTATGTCCCTGTGGATCATTAATTGCGGAAACAAGAGAGACATATAGCGAAGGCCAAGAAATTATTGGCCTGCAATGTATGTGTAAATTCTTAACAAGTTACTCTTTTATTGGCAGCATAATATATAGGATCAGCATGACAACCGCTTGATGTTGCATCACTTTTCATCTAGACATCAGATTTAGTTTACAGCGGTTTATTTGATTTGTGTCCATTGCTTAGAAGTTGAATGGAAGCAACTTTGACAACATGTATCAATGGTGTTTGCAGGGAAATGGAACTAGTCTCTTTGCTTAAATAACGCTGAATTTTCTAATGGAAGTGATGTTTGCGTGTGAATTGCTAACTGATACTATGTACTATTGAACTTTCAGGACGTGAATACTGATGCTAGGAACAACTAATCTACTACTACTACTACTTGTCTGCATGGATTGCAATGAGGAAGGATGGATTTTCTCTGTTTTTACTGTTTCTTGGTTTTGTGGTCTGAAAGATAGAAACTTGCATTAAGGTCATCGCTACTTCTCCAAGAATCAATCCTTAAACGGTCATGTCTGTGAATACAAAAGACATAATATATAAACGTGTTCTTTAATTTGGTCTCAACTAACATCTATGTCCTTCAATTTTGGGTGTGCACGAGTAGATATTTAAACTTATATAAAGTTGAACTAATAGATATACATGTGTGTTGTTTTGTCTTTCTATTGAAGAAATACATTTGTTTCTCTAGAATCCATCAATTAGTAAACTTAAGAAATTGCTAGTCTCTAGAGAGCTATTGGTTTCTATTTCATGTGTGATTTTTGGATATAATGAGCTTCATGATGATTTTAAGGAAATGTGCATTTTCAAAATTTGAGTTGTGACAATTCACATCTTGTTAATGTCAAAATATATAGTTTAAATAGTGATGTTGTCCAACAAGTCGAGTATGATTACATTTGAGTTATGACAAGTCGCATCTTTTTAATGCCAAAATATATAGTCTAAATAGTGTTGTTGTCCAACAAGTCGGATATTCAATTCGTGGCTGCTGAATTTTATTGCAATAATTATATGAGTAACTAATTATATTCTCCAATTTTATCAATTCACATTTACATCCTACTTATTGCATCTTATACATTTAAACTCCTATAATTAATAATTTTAACATAACATAATTGATTAATTAAGCAAAATATTTATCATATAAAACAAAAGTAATCCAAAATTACATAATCAAAATAGTAATTTTAAAGTGTCATTCAACAACAATATTAAAAAAATAAAAATCCTAAATATGATTTCTACTTGATACTTGGTTCATCATCAGTGCTACCTCCATCTGAAGATTTATAATTGATGCTTGAATCGATTGGTGACCGAACAACATCACTTTTATATCTGATGTTTGAAAAAACAAAAAAAATATATTAATTGACAGACAAGCTGATGATTATACTCCAAAAAACAATTTGAAGTTCTCTACTATTTTGACTAGTGCTACCATTCCACACACATCTCTTGCTCTCTTTCCTCATAGGAGGAACCAATCTATGATTCTTGCTGAAAGGGTTTTAATTTTTATTTCTATTGCTCATTTAATGAATATTTATGGATTAAACTATCCTTAACTATAACCTAGTTTCGTAAAAAAAATTGTTTTGACTAGTCAATTTGCTATTTAAATATGTAATCGTCTTTGGCTTAAATTTTCACTTTATAAGTATATTGTAAAAACTTCTTTCATTAGTTTTTTAAGATCTTTAAAGTACTTTGAATCTAGTTGACAATCTTTATATCTATATAATGACTAACCCGTATTCCATCAATATCAAATTAATAGACTCATTAACTAATAGTACATTATAACATTTGTTGATATTTTATTTTTATATAATATCTTCATCATTTTTCAAATCGCCTTCAATGTTGTTAATATTTCCCATCATCAAATGAAAATGCATAAGAATCTATCATGTTAAGACTTAAGCCCCTCCACGTCTATGTAATTCCCTTCTCTAGTGTAATTAAAAAGTCAAAATCATTTTTTTACCCCTCAGTGTCCAAAGTCTATATTAGAGTTCTGATTAAATTCGGATCGTACACTGCAGAGTTCATTTGGACATGGGAATTCCAAATTTTTTTAATCCATATTCGAAGCTAGCTCGAATCAAGACCTCTGATTAAAAATAAAACAGTCATACCACTGCACCACAACCCCAATCCCAACCCCATGTACTTGGCATATACCTTGAATTAAACACCCATATATTCATCACTAACGTGACTAGCACAAATTTGAAATCCTTTAGACTAGACATTCCCAATCAAAGAAAAATAGGGGGGAATGGAAAAGGACAACAATCTTTATATAATAGATACAAGTGCAAATGTGTCATAATTCTATTGGACCAACATGATAAATGATGCCTCCTATCCATTACTAAGTGTAGATAGGGTGTGTACCTACGATTTGGTTATTACTGTAAAATAAATATTTTGTATATATGGTGTGATAATAATACATACATGAGCACCACTCCTTGTCAACATTGAATAAAAATCTTGTGTTCCCTTTTTTTTTTTTTTTTTTTTT